TGGCAGGAGGTGTCCTCCTGGGTGGTTGCTGGTTACCAACCTACATTATTATATTTATATATATTAGTAGGCCTTTCAAGACAAAAGTAGGCCTTAGACAAAAGGGTGTGTGATGTCACCCTGGTTTTTAATATATTTATAGATGGGGTTGTAAGAGAAATAAAAGCGAGGGGCTTTGGCAAAAAGGCGTGGGGTTAAAAGAAAAAAATCACACACAAGTGGGAGTGTCACAGTGTCTTTTTGATGACACTGTGCTCTTGGGAGTTTGAAAAGAAGTTGCAGAGATTTGGGGGATGAATTTGGTAGGGTGTGCAAAAGAAGAAAATTAAGGTGAATACAGGAAAGAGTAAGGTTTTGAGGGTAACAAAAAGATTAGGTGGAAAAATTGAAAATCAGATTGGGGGAGGGTATGGAGGGGTTGAAGTTTCAGATATTTGGGAGGGAGTGTCAGCAGATGGGTCTATGAAAGATGAGGTGAATAAAGAATTGATGGGGAAAAAGGTGGTGGGGCACTTAGGAGTCTTGGAGCAAAGAAAATTTTTCTTGGAGGCAAAAGGGGAATGTATGAGAGTATAGTTTTACCAACGCTCTTTAAAAGGGGTTAAGGTGGGTTGAAATTTTTTTTCAGGGGGGAAAAGGGTGGAGGCATGGGATGTCATGTCTGAGGGGTGTGTGGTTTTGAATATAATGCAGAGAATTTTTTTTAGTTTGGAAGTTAGGAGGGGTGGGGGTTCCCAAAATGTTGTCCCCGGGGGTGAGGAAAAGGGGTTGTTGAGGTGGTTCGGACATGTAGAGAGAATGGAGCGAAACAGAATGACTTCAAGAGTGTATTCAGTCTGTAGTGGAAGGAAGGCGGGGTAGGGGTCGGCCTAGGAAGGGTTGGAGGGAGGGGGTAAAGGAGGTTTTGTGTGCGAGGGGCTTGGACTTCCAGCAGGCATGCGTGAGCGTTTTTTGATAGGAGTGAATGGAGACAAATGGCTTTTAATACTTGACGTGCTGTTGGAGTGTGAGCAAAAGAAAACATTTATGAAGGGATTCAGGGAAACCGGCAGGCCGGACTTGAGTCCTGGAGATGGGAAGTACAGTGCCTGCACTCTGAAGGAGGGGTGTTAATGTTGCAGTTTAAAAACTGTAGTGAAAAGCACCCTTCTGGCAAGACAGTGATGGGTGAATGATGGTGAAAGTTTTTCTTTTTCGGGCCACCCTGCCTTGGTGGGAATGGCCGGTGTGATAATAAAAAAAAAAAAAAAAATATATATTTTTATATATAATATATATATATATATATATATATTTTTTTTTTTTTTTTTTTTTTAAGACGGATAAAATACAGTACCTGTATCCTAGGCTTCCTTATTTATGTTTAATGACTCAAAACTTCACCAGTGTGATTACCTTCAGAATTTTGTCATAATTATTTCCATTTTTCTATTCTTGACACGAGCCCTATTCAAGTGTACAGGTCTCCCTCAACATTCGCGAGGGTTAGGGGATCAAGAGCCTTGCGAATGTTGAAAAACCGTGAATGTTTGGTGCCCCAATATATTGTAGGGAAATATAATACAATACTGCCTCCTTAACTTGTTGAACCATGAACAATCATAAAATACATGAAAACGTCGTAAATTGTACTAAATATATACATGTTATGCTTTAATAACATGTATGTTATTAAATACCACAGACTCCACCAATGCCTCCACCACTTCCCTAACCACTGCGAGTCCCTACTACCCTCCCTCCGACCCCTGCAACTGGCAGCCAGCCCTCCCACCACTCAGTGTGGTGAGTGTTTTGTCTGTTCATTATTTGCTATTAAACTACAGTATAAATAATGTAAACCCATTCATGACTGAATATTGGAATGGCTATTCGGACAGGTATTGGACGGTGACATCATGTGTTTAGTCTTGAACACTGCAAAGAATCAAACTTTCTGCTACTGCTAATAATAACAATAGTAATAATAATAATAATAATAATAATACTTGAGTCCTGGAAATGGGAAGTACAATGCCTGCACTTTAAAGGAGGGGTTTGGGATATTGGCAGTTTGGAGGGATATGTTGTGTATCTCTATACGTATATGCTTCTAAACTGTTATATTCTGAGCACCTCTGCAAAAGCAGTGATAATGTGTGAGTGTGGTGAAAGTGTTGAATGATGATGAAAGTATTTTCTTTTTGGGGATTTTCTTTCTTTTTTTGGGTCACCCTGCCTCGGTGGGAGACGACCGACTTGTTGAAAAAAAAAAAAAAAAAAAAAAAAATAATAATACGATATAATTGAAGAAGGAAATTGTACAAATATACGAGGGAGTGGTTGACACATCGTCAGTGTGGCTTTGTTTATGCTGGAGTGAGCGTTAGTCTCCCTGCTCTTCCAAAAATTTCACAATAATTCAGCGGTTGAGGCAGTGGTATTTAATAACATATGTGTTATAAATAATAATAGTACATATTAATAACATGTATTATTATTATTAATAACATGTATGTTATTAAATGCCACTGCCTCAATCGCTTCCTCACCAGCTGCCTCACCCACTGCCTCAGTCGCTGCCTCAGTCGCTGCCTCAGTCGCTGCCTCAGTCGCTGCCTCAGTCGCTGCCTCAGTCGCTGCCTCAGTCGCTGCCTCAGTCGCTGCCTCAGTCGCTGCCTCAGTCGCTGCCTCAACAGCTGCCTCAACAGCTGCCTCATCAGCTGCCTCAACAGCTGCCTCAACAGCTGCCTCAACAGCTGCCTCAATAGCTGCCTCAACAGCTGCCTCAACCGCTGCCTCAATCGCTGCCTCAACAGCTGCCTCAACAGCTGCCTCGCCCACTGCCTCAATAGCTGCCTCAACCACTGCCTCAGTCGCTGCCTCAACAGCTGCCTCGCCCACTGCCACAATCGCTGCCTCAACAGCTGCCTCAATCGCTGCCTCAACAGCTGCCTCAACCACTGCCTCTACCACTCCAGTTGCACTCAATCTACAAGTACCAAACACAATGAATTATTGTGAAATGTTTAGAAGAGCAGGGAGACTAATGCTCACTCCAGCATAAACAAAGCCACACTGACCATGTGTCAACCACTCCCTTGTATTTTTGTACAACTTCTTTCTTCAATTATATCGTATTTATTATTATTATTATTATTATTATTATTATTATTATTATTATTACTATTGTTATTATTAGCAGTAGCAGAAATGTTTGATTCTTTGCTGTGTTCAAGAGTAAACACATGTCACCGTCTAATACCTGTCCGAATAGCCATTCCAATATGCAGTCATGATTGGGTTTACATTATTTATACTGCAGTTTAATAGCAAATAATGAACAAACAAAACACTCGCCACACTGAGTGGTGGGAGGGCTGGCTGCCAGTTGCAGGGGTCGGAGGGAAGGTAGTAGGGACTCGCAGGTGGCGGGAAACTTGAATATGATTTGGCGGCTGGGAATTTGGCGTTTGGGAATTCGCGAATGTGTGAAGCCCGCGAAAGCTGAAAACGTGAATGTTGAGGGAGACCTGTACATTTTTTACAAATACAACTTGTTTTAAGCTTTAGATGGCCTTTGCTGTATTTATTTATTTTTGTTAATGTTCTGCTAAGATGTACCAGTTAATCCCTGTTTGTAACAGCCTTCACACAATGGTGGCTGTGAAAAATCTTATTTTTTCCCCCAATTTTTTTGCATTATCGAGAGCTCAAGTTCGTCATTCTTTATTAAATTGACGTGGTACAGTCTTTTTTTCTGTCACTTATAACTCGTATTCACTATGTTTTTACCATTGTGATTGCAGTTAAAACAAAACTTTAATATCTTTTTATTTGTTAATACCATATATTTTTATCTTATATGATATTAATTAACTCTTTGAATGCTGTCACAGAACTACATTATTGATGCTAGGGTCCCTCGCATAGAACTATGTCATGAGCTCAGCTCACTTAGATAAGCTGAGAGCTGTCAGTTTTGGCCTAGATATGAGAAAATGGGTCTGTGTGGTGAGTGCACATAGTATAAAAAAAAATCCAGCCCCACGCATTGCGTGATGGGATAAGCAAAACTCTGACCTTGTGTTAGGTTTAAATAGCGAATTTGAGTTGTTTTCTCGGGTGTTCTTTTATGGTTTTATTTGGCCGTTTCATGGGAACACTTGATAGAATATAAGACATACTGCTGCAATAGAGATGATTTTGGTTGGTTTTAGGACTAGAAGTAGCTTAAAACTGGGTTTAAAATAGTGGAAATATTAGATTTTTGTAGATTTTCCTGAGGACGGGTAAGGCCTTCCCTATGCCCCTGGTCTGTTTTATGTTTTTTTTAATAAGTCTGATTCAATTATTGGGTTGATGTAAAGCATGATTAATCATTCTTGGTTGTATTTTGTAATCTGAGAAATAGGATAAACCTATTTTTTTGTGTGATTATAAATTCAAAATGAAAGGCAAGTGTAATATAGGAGAGGCCTGCAATGTGATTAATGAGCAGATGAAATGTTTTAGTGCCTGGAATGTCTATATTGTTTATTTTGGACTCTATTTTTAAGTTTTGTGTAAAATTGGCTAACATACCAACTTCTGTGCACTTGATAGGGTAGTTGTAATAGTTGAATGGGCAGTTTCTTGTGCTCAGTCAAAAGTACAGAGGACATCTGTACTAGCAAAATAGCTAAGAATTTGGTCAAATGGAGCAATGAAATTGGTATACAATAGGACTCAGAGTGGATGCATAAATTGCACCCTGATGGCTGACTTTGCGCCTGGGTAATTCTGTACGTTTTCCATCAAATTTTTTACTTTTGGGGTCATTACCTTCAAAAAAAGATTCTCCACCATTTCAGAAGAAAGCATTTATCTCATTCTAACTTGCACATGATTTGCTCCTCTTTTCATTCATGTTTTTAATGACTTATTACAGTGAAGAAATTTTTTTTTGTAGGTCATTTTGTTGTATTAGTAATAAATTTAGCAGAAAAATGTGTAATGGTACATCATCATATCTTTTACAGGTTCAAGGAAGTCTCTCCACCAAAATGGAGGGAGTAGTTCGTCTTATGTTAAAAATCAAGCTTGCAGATCCTGATGCCAAAGTGCTAGTGTTTTCTTCCTGGGTAGATGTTCTTGACGTTATAGCTGATGCATTCGCTCAGAATGGTATAACATACAGAGCTCTCCATAATCGCACAAAGTTTCAGGTAAGTTTTTTTTTTTTTTTTTTTTTAGCAAGTCGGCCGTCTCCCACCGAGGCAGGGTGACCCAAAAAGAAAGAAAATCCCCAAAAAGAAAATACTTCCATCATCATTCAGCATTTTTACCTCACTCACACATAATCACTGTTTTTGTAGAGGTGCTCAGAATACAACAGCTTAGAAGCATATACGTATCAAGATGCACAACATATCCCTCCAAACTGCCAATTTCCCAAACCCCTCCTTTAAAGTGCAGGCATTGTACTTCCCATTTCCAGGACCCAAGTCCAGCTATATAAAAATAACCGGTTTCCCTGAATCCTTTCACTAAATATTACCCAGCTCACACTCCAACAGCTCGTCAGGTCCCAAAAACCATTCGTTTCCATTCACTCCTATCTAACACGCTCACACACGCTTGCTGGAAGTCCAAGCCCCTCACCCACAAAACCTCCTTTTCCCCCTCCCTCCAACCTTTTCGAGGACGACCCCTACCCCGCCTTCCTTCCCCTTCAGATTTATACGCTCTCCATGTCATTCTACTTTAATCCATTTTCTCTAAATGACCAAACCACCTCAACAACCCCAGCGGTGAGAGTAGCGACTCTCATTGCTGAGGTCCAGGTAATAAACCCTGGACATTAACATAAATCTAAATGACCAAACCACCTCAACAACCCCTCTTCAGCCCTCTGACTAATACTTTTATTAACTCCACACCTAATTTCCACACTCCAAATTTACTGCATAATATTTACACCACACATTGCCCTTAGACATGGCATTTCCACCGCCTCCAATCGTTTGTACTTTATATAAATAAAATTTAAGGTTCCGTAAACTTCAAAACATATTGCAGTCTTGTCATTTGTTGATATGAGTAAAAAAAAAATGTGTATACTTCAGTTTGAAATGTTGCAAGGATTTTTTATATGTGGAAAATTTTACTTATGACAGCATTTCACATCTTTGTACAGTATACAGTTATTAAATTGCTCTTTTATAATCAGAAAAGTTTTTGTTTTACTTACAGTACTCTTATTGTGTCACCAGTAGAATATGCAGTATCACTTGCAAAACAGTAGCAAGATTCAGTATGTAGTTTAGAAATAAATCAGAAATACATTACTATGTAATACAGTATATTGATAGTTGTGTGCCATATCATAAGCAGATATGTGTCTAGATCAGGTTTAATGTTTGTTTTTAATTACTGGTTTAAACAACTATTTTTAGATTTTATACACAAATAACCTACACATAGGGGAATGGAACTTATGACAATGTTTGTCCAACTTGACCATTAACTAGTTACTCAGAAGCACAAAGGGAAGGGAACCAGTATATATATATATATATATATATATATATATATATATATATATATATATAAACAGTGGACCCTCGGTAATCACCCATAATCTGTTCCAGAAGCTCGGCCAAAAACTGAAATGGCCGAAAACCAAAATAATATTTCCCATAAGAATTAATGTAATTACAATTAATCCGTTCCAGACAAAAATATTCACCAAAAAAATAATTTTTTTAACAATTAAATCAGTATTACATACCTTTATTGAAGACTAATGCTGGCTTCTGGAATGCCTGCTACACTTCCTGCATGCCTGCTACACTTCCTGCATGCCTGCTACACTTCCTGCATGCCTACTATACTTCCTGCATGCCTACTATACTTCCTGCATGCCTGCTACACTTCCTGCATGCCTACTACACTTCCTGCATGCCTGCTACACTCCCTGCATGCCTGTTACACTCCCTGCATGCCTGTTACACTCCCTGCATGCCTGTTACACTCCCTGCATGCCTGTTACACTCCCTGCATGCCTGTTACACTCCCTGCATGCCTGCTACACTCCCTGCATGCCTGCTACACTTCCTGCATGCCTGCTACACTCCCTGCATGCCTGCTACACTCCCTGCATGTTTGCTACACTTCACACTTAAATTCCATGGTGTTTCTCAGTTTCTTTACCACAGGAACTTTACTAGGAACTTTCTTTGGAGCCATAGTTACTTATTTTGCAGTTGGGCTGCAAAAAAAAACACAAAAAACAATGGAAAACAGTGCAATGTTTGGATGTATGAGCAGAAGCTTCCTCACATACTGAAAGACACAGGCAAACTGATGCGTAAGCGGCCCCAGCCAGCAGATGGATGCATTCCAAACGGCCGATCACCGAATTAACGGCCAATAACCGGGCACCGAAAAACCAGCTGATCACCGAGTTGGCCGATAACAGAAGCAGGCGATAACCAGGGGTCCACTGTATTTGAGAGGGGGGCAGGGCCGGGAGTAGAACTAGAGGAGGTAGTAATATAATTGTAGAAGTAGTGGTAAAGGTAGTAGTGGTGGTAGTAATAATAGTACAAGTAGTGCAACAGTGGAGAGATGGCAATAAGAAGGGGGCAGGGGTATCGACACAAGAGTTAGAGAGTGGATTGTTAGCAAACCAATAATTATAGTAGAGGAGGTAGTCTTAAAACAATATAAAAAAAATGGAATAATGCTGATGGCCCACAAGGGTAGGACAAAAACCCAGGGGGAAAAAAACTCGTAGGATAAAATCCACCAGGCAGAAGAAAGGAAAGGCATGGAAATTATAGGAAAGGAAATACGTAAGATGAGGAAGAGATAAAGATTAGGTCAAGTCACAAGTGTTCTGAACTTTGAAGCACTTGCTAATAGAATGAGCAAGGAAAGTATCTACAGAGACAGAGCCAGAACAAGGATTCATATTAGGAAAGTTGTGTATAAAAGATGCTTCAGTAGGATGACATCTGTGAAGGCTAGAAGGGTAGACAGTTAATACAGGCCAGTTAATAGGATGACTGTCATCTCTGACATGACAGAAAAGAGCATTATTAGTATTGGCAAGTCTAACACTTCTTTGTGCTTTTTAAGGCTGTCAGACAGAGAACTGCTAGTTTCTCCAAAGTGTTGTAGAGGACAAGAAAAACAGGTAATGGAGTAGACTCTGGAAGTATCAGTAGCAGGAGGAGTGGTATGAACTAAATTACTATGAAGGATATTAGTTTGGCAAAAAGTAAGTTCACTGATCAACTCGGACCAAACCAGTGCCATAAGTTTCATTCTCCTATTTGTGAGTTATTTATGTATTGCTCCAGTCACAGGATTGGGCTTTTTTATTCTTTCTAGATTGTTTTTTTCTTGTAACTATTGTTGAAGCTTAATATTTTGCACTTGTCATTATTTCTTTTCAGGTACATCTATTATCATTCAAAACTAACAGTCAGATCACAGCCCTTTTGCTTCCTATTTCATCTGGTGCTAATGGACTTAATATTATTGAAGCACGTCACGTCATCTTGGTTGAGCCTATTCTAAATCCTGCTGCTGAGTTGCAGGCAATTGGAAGAGTACATCGCATTGGCCAATCCAGGGAGACAGTTGTTCATAGATTTCTAGTTCGAGGAACCATTGAAGAAAGAATGTTTCACATCTTGCGTCACCATCATGATTCTCACCACACTGATGAGAACACAGTCACCATTGAGGATCTGAAACACCTTTTCCTTCATCCTGAAGAATTAGAGTTGCAAAAAGCAATGGCTAAGAATTTTAAAGAAAATAATGCTGCAGACAACCTTGCCAGAGACAAAGAAGCCTTGAATAACCTTCAAGATCAGCAAGGAGGCCTGCATACCCAACACATTCATCGAAACAGGGAGTTTTTATTATCCAGGAGTCCAACTCAAGCTAATGAAAATCAGCAAGTTGCAACATCAGGCATTAATGATCCTATGTTTTTACCCTCAACCAGTAGTTTGTCTCGACCATTTACCATTAAGGCCTCTCTGTCATCAACCAACAACTTTTCACAGTTGGTAATAAATGGGGTACCTCAACCATCAACCAGCAGTATTTCCCTGTCATCAGCTAGTAATTTATGTCACATATCAGCCTCTAATTTCTCTCGTCCATCAACCAGCAATACATCTCAATCATTAACCAGTAATGTTTCTCAATCAGTTGGTAATACCTCTCAGTCATCTACTAATAATTCCTCTTGCCCATCAACCAGCAATACCTCTCATTCATCTAAAAATATTGTCTCACCCCCATCAACTAGCAATATTTCTCAATCATCAACTAATCTTTCACATCCATTAGTCAGTACTTCACAGTTATCAACCACTAACTTCTCAGACCCATCAACCCCTAATTCTTTTCAGTCATCACTTGTCACACCAATCATTCAGTAATACTTTTCAATGAATATGTAACTCCTGCATACATCAGCTGCAGATTCATGTCAAACATCAATTAATAATATGTCTCATCAATCTACAAATAATTTGCCTCAGCTACCAGCTAACAACTGTCAACAGCCAGTTACTATTGCTTCTTAAAAAATGTCTTGTAAATTAATCCAGGTGAGTAACTCTGATGGCCCTGTTACTCATAATTTGTTTCTACAGTCTTCCAGTCATGATTCACAGATACCTATGATAAGTTTGTCAGCCATGTCCTGCAGTAATCTAATATAGGCGTTCTCGACTTATGATGGGGTTACGTTCCTACAAACCCATTGTAAGTAAACAATATCATAAGTTGAATATGAATATAACATGCTAAATAAATAAGTAAATAAATAACTACTGTTACTGAATAAGTAAATAAGTAATTCTTCTTTCAACGTACCAGCTGTATCCCACCGAGGTGGGGTGGCCCAAAAGGAAAAACGAAAGTTTCTCCTTTCAAATTTAGTAATATATACAGGAGAAGGGTTACTAGCCCCTTGCTCCCAGCATTTTAGTCACCTCCTCCGTCACCCATGGCTTACGGAGGAAGAATTCTGTTCCACTTCCCCATGGAGAAATAAATAATTAACTAAATATCAGTATTGAAAAGTAAATAAGTTAATACAAGATATGGACTTGCCACCTTCATGCTAGATAATTATCTTAGGTTTCATCTTCAAAATAATTGTTTTTGCACCATTCTAAAGTCTAAATATCATAAATTGAACCATCATGAGTCGAGGAACACCTGTATAGGGATTCTGCTCTCAACTATTGGCATATCAAGCAATATTCAGCAATATTCAACTTTTGAGTAGTGTCACAACTTCACAACCATTCACTAAATATACTGTAATTCATTCAGCCAGTTACATATCGCTGGAGTTACATATCATGTTTTCACAGTGGTGATGATGCAACTCGTGACCTGTTGCATCATCATCAGCTGGTAATTTGTTTCAGCCATATAAAATAGTTTGTTGGAAATACCCAATCAGCCTCTATCTTCCACTGTCTCAACTCGTCCTAAAGACTGAGTTTGTAGTACAGCCTCTCCTCACTTAACAACGTACTCATTTAGCAACGACACAGACTTACGACGGGCTCTCTGACCAGTATGCATACCTAAATAATGTGGATTGAAGCTGATTTCCTCTATTCTGTTTATTACAATGTACAGTACACTACTGTTAAACATTTAAAAATATACCAGAAATGTTATAAATGGTGCAAAGGTGATATTAAAACAATATCAAAGATGGTTGACACAAACCCACTACCATTATAGTATGGTCCTCGCTTAGCGACTAATTCATTTACCGATATGGTCTTAGGAACGGAACTCTGGTGTTAAGCGAGGAGAGGCTGTATATTTTAGTGATTTCAGAATGATCAAATGGTTTTGAATGGTATTTCCATTATCAGAGAGGTTTTCTAGCACTGCAACTTGTAGAGAAATCATTATATGACAGAGGCGTTGCACAGTAAATATATCAGCAGTAGAACAGAAAATTGCCCCTTGGCTCAGTAATGTGAAAACTGAAATCCATTCAACTAAATTAGGGACTTTTACAGTATGATAAAGAAAATTATTTGTGAATCACCCTGCCATGTAGTGGAATGCTGTATATTGACTGTAACGAGACATTTTCTTCATTCTTTTATTCTCAGGATCATTGTGAGCCACCTTCCAATCACAAGTAAACAAGCTTATAAGCCTTGGAAAGATGCAAAACAATTTAAAATTGAAAAGTTAACTGGATATTCTCCATTTTTATATGCAGATTGTTTGACTATACCCAAAGATTTTCTAAAATTGTACATATAAACAAATTGCTAATTGGCAAAAGTCAGAATGCATTTTGAAAAGTCTTGGTGAGAAAGTTTCATTAAGTTGCAGTTTGTTACCAATTCTTGGAATGTAATTCTCCAAATCAGTACATTTCTTCTTAGTAGCACTATTGAACATAGTACAAGCTGTAGGGATTTTTAATTCACTGTTTTGAGCATCTCGTGGCATTCATCGAGAATTGCACAAAAAATGGAACAGATTTCATCCTATTTTTTTGTGACTGAATTAGTGAAATCTAAAAGTTAGTGGTCCAATAATATTTCTGGTTGTGGTTCTTAACTATGGTACCTTTAATACAGACCCCTTTCATGAATGTTGTCTAAAGTAGTTAGAACTGTATAAAGTTGCAACTTTACTGTCCAGTACTTCAGTGATAGAAAAATGATTTTTCAGTAACCGATAACTGCCATTTCATTTTTAAATGAATAGAAACCTAGAATAACTTTGTATATATTCTGTGCACATAATTATCAGTATTTCTTTTATTATTCTCTTATATACAAAGGGCAAACCATTGTAATATCACACATAATTTGCCACTTCAAGGTAAACATAAACTTAACCTATTTTTAGTAATTTTTCTATTGTAGAAAGCCAAGTCTTTTGCAGTGAAACTATATCAGTTGTACCATGAGAACACCAAGATTAAGAGACCTTATACTAAGCACATCTTTTGAGATATTTTACTGTGTGTGTGTGTGTGTGTATTTTACTGTACTCGCCTGATTGTAGTTGCATGGGTTGAGACTGTGTGTGTGTGTGTGTGTGTGTGTGTGTGTGTGTGTGTGTGTGTGTACACGCCTAATTGTGGTTGCAGGAGTCAAGTCACAATTGGCCCCGTCTCTTCACTAGTCGCTACTAGGTCACTCTTCCTGCTCCATGAGCTTTATCATACCTCTTCTGTGTGTGTGTGCGCACACACGTGCATGTACATATGTGCACATGTACCTGCTTATTTGTAGTTGCAAGGGGCAATTCTTATATCCTGGCCCTACTTCTTATCTTATTCAGATTCACTCCCACATTTGAATCTGAACAAGATTCACTCCCACAAAAATGTGTGTGTGGTTTCTTGGGTGTGTGTTGTGTGTGTGAGAGAGAGAGGGAGAGAGATGTATAGTTAATCCTATTTGAATTAGAGACAAGTGAGTTTCTTACCTTTTGACCCTCTGACATATAATTTTTTTGTTTATTTTTTAACCTCTTTATAGAGCCTGCTTCCTGTGTAATTGTTTACTTCATTCAGCCTCCTAACTAGTCTTAATGTTTTTACAGTCTTGTAACTCATCTGGGTGCATAATTTTCAACTATTCCCTCCTGCTTTTGTTACATTTCTGGTAAACAACCTATCTTTTTCTACCATGTCCTCTCTTCTAGTATTGCTGAATTCTCTTCATATTGGTTCCTTTCTCTCTTTGTGGCTCTACAAAGAGAGATATAATCTTTATATAATTATATAATTTCACAGTGGTGTGAAAATAAATAACAGAAAACCCATCTTTAACAGCAGCAAACAACCAGTATCATTGCATCCCTTCATACAGCATCTCAGGCTGAGGAGGTCAAGTGATGCAGTGCAATGATACTGCTCTTGTTCCTTTGTTTAAATGGTTTTGCTATCATTAAATAACAGTAAGTTGATTACCCTTAGCACTTGCATTGCCATCATTCATGGTTAGGTACGATCACGGTATCTCCTGTGCCAAACACATCATCATAAGACACAGTCACTCCTCACCTCAAAAAGTGTTCCTTTGATCCCCGTCGGGGAGGGGAACCTATAATCATCGTACCAGCGCCTGCCTTACTCCTTCATGATGCAAACCGAGTAAGGATCAAACCCAACAGTGGAGTAATAAATGGCTCTACTAAACTTGCCCTTACAGCCATCCACTCGACGAATGACTCATTCATCGTCGTCTGTACTGACGATTATGAAGCCTCAAAACTGATTGCTGACACTTCTATGAAAACCCTCAGAGACTGACAGTTCACCATCTCCCCTTCACCTTTTTTGCTGACGAAACGTTCCGTTTTTGTCAAACGGCTGGACAAACTCGTCACTTCTTTATCGACTGAGGATCTCAAGACCTCTATCGAGGAACAAAATACCTGGGCGTCGACTGAACATATCAGCAAAATCCCCAACGCCTCTACAATGATCAAGCTAACCTTCTCCAACATCGATATGGCTACTAGAGCACTGTCTGACGGCCTAGCCATCTCCTACTATCATATCCATCCAAGTCACATAGAACCCGAACATTTCGCCCACATCTCACCATGCTGGACCTGCTACTCCTATCACCACTCAACGCCTGATTGTCCTCTGAAAGGGAAGAAGTACTGTACAAACTGCGGTAAAGACGACCATGACTTCAAGGAATAAATAACAAAAAGGCACAATACCGTGACTGGAACGATACACAAATAACCCGCACATAAAAGACAGAAGCTGACGACGACGTTTCGGTCCGACTTGGACCATTGACAAAGTCACACTAACAGAGGAGGAGCAGAACGGCTATATATAGGCAGGAAGAGGTAGAGGTAGTAGTAGTGGTAGTAGTAGTAGTAGTACAAGAATTGTATATAATACCGACAGGATGAAATGACACATGCACAACACCCGGGCATCCCCACCGTAGACGTTTCGCCATCCAGCCAGCCACTGGATGGCGAAACGTCCACAACAAAGACAACCAGACGCCGCACATGTGTCTAATTTCATCAGTAGATGTAGTAGAAGAAGAAGAGGTAGTGGTAGTGGTAGTGGTAGAAGTGGGAAATAAGGAAGACGAGCCAGTCAAATACAAAGGAAGGGGAGCACTGCAAGAGAGCTAGAAACCCACAGAGGGAGAGCAAGCGCACCGAGGTGCGTGAAAGGGGAAGTGGTGAAATAAAATAAAGAAGGAACAGAAACACGAGACAGGAGAGAGAAAGACAACCCAGAGGAGAAAAGGAGAGAGGAAAGGGGAAGAGGAAGAAGAAAAAGAAGAAGAAGAAAAAATGAGGATTCAGGTTAAGTCACGGGTGTTCTGAAGTTTGGAGCATTTTACAATGTAGTGGGAGAGGAAGGCATCTACACAACTTTCCTTGTATGAACCTTAGCCCTGGCTTCGTCTCTGTAGATGCCTTCCTCTCCCACTACATTGTAAAATGCTCCAAACTTCAGAACACCCGTGACTTAACCTGAATCCTCATTTTTTCTTCTTCTTCTTTTTCTTCTTCCTCTTCCCCTTTCCTCTCTCCTTTTCTCCTCTGGGTTGTCTTTCTCTCTCCTGTCTCGTGTTTCTGTTCCTTCTTTATTTTATTTCACCACTTCCCCTTTCACGCACCTCGGTGCGCTTGCTCTCCCTCTGTGGGTTTCTAGCTCTCTTGCAGTGCTCCCCTTCCTTTGTATTTGACTGGCTCGTCTTCCTTATTTCCCACTTCTACCACTACCACTACCCTACCTCTTCTTCTACTACATCTACTGATGAAATTAGACACATGTGCGGCGTCTGGTTGTCTTTGTTGTGGACGTTTCGCCATCCAGTGGCTGGCTGGATGGCGAAACGTCTACGGTGGGGATGCCCGGGTGTTGTGCATGTGTCATTTCATCCTGTCGGTATTATATACAATTCTTGTACTACTACTACTACTACTACTACCACTACTACTACCTCTACCTCTTCCTGCCTATATATAGCCGTTCTGCTCCTCCTCTGTTAGTGTGACTTTGTCAATGGTCCAAGTCGGACCGAAACGTCGTCGTCAGCTTCTGTCTTTTATGTGCGGGTTATTTGTGTATACTTCAAGGAATGTTCTACTACCACTACCTCTCCTACCTGCCTCAACTGCAAGGGTACTCCCCACACCCTTGCAGCAAAATGCCCTCTACGTAAAGAAGTCCTATCTAAGAAAATCATTGAAGAAACCACGAAGAACAACCCTAAATCGCCAACATACGCCACCATTGCAAAAATTCAATCAGATACCACCGAACTCCTTCAAGCTACACAACAATCATCTCCACCCAGCCAGTCCCTCTCTGCTCTTCCTGACACTGCTCCATCCAAGGTGCTATACTGTATGATGTATGCACACCTCACTAATGCTGCAAACCCTGGCTCATTCAACACAACAATCAATGAACTGTTTCGCCTTAACAACATGCCAAACTTCAACTTTCCAGACTCGCCACCATCACAAGACCTCCTCAAGCTAATTCCAGACATTGTTAACTTCACCTCAACCCCTGGTCCTACTCGTATCTCTGACCAAGACTCTACTCCAGAACCAATACCACCGTCTACTGCCACCTTTCACCACCCATCACCAGCCCAACAAACCACAACCGACCAACACTCCCTGCTTCCTCTCAACACAGTCACAGAAGATGAAATAGTACCAGAACATTATGAACAACCCTCGGACAACGACGAAGTAGTAGTCGAAGAAGTAACCGAAGAAGAAACCACAGGCAACCGTAACCTAAGCCAAGCCTTTAATGGGTCTCTAACCTTCTACACCACCCTCAACCTCCCAACCGAAATGAGCGCAGCTGATATGCTCTACTTAATGAAAGAAGGAGCTGTTAAGTACACCTGCACCAAACCTCGCCAAATTCCTTTTGAAAACGCACCATCTTACCTCGTGACGAATCTGAACTGATCCAACCTCAGAATGCAACTATTCCACATGTCCAAGAGAGACTTCAAAAGACTCAAGAGTGGCTCCATCACCAGCGAAGTGTAGCCAAACACACAACGCACTTCCGCAACACATAACGTGAGCCTCCCGACACCTGACGTCCAACCAGCTCTTCACCTCAGCCTGAAGCATATCAGCCAGCGAGCACTGTCTGCAGTCTGCTCTCTCCTCTGTCCTCAACATGCCCTCTCTACACTGCCTCGCAGTGCCATGCAGTTGGGTTTAGCCCTGGCTCTTTCATCTACAAGTCAAGACCTTCCTCTCACGACTATTTGTCGTCTGTCCACACTTCCCCACTCACCCACCGGAGTCCCAACAGAAGAGCCTGCTATGTGTGTTCTCATTGTCTGTCCCACGATCGACTTAGCTGCTGGGTTAAGCCCTGGCTCTATTTCTACAACTAAGAACACTCCTCTCCAGCACTATTCTTTGTCTGTCCCGTCGTCCCCGCTCATCCCATTTGGGATCTTACCTGAACTTTCGTTCGTTCGTTCATTGCCATCATCATCCATGTTAACATTAACTACCACACATTCATACTCAAGTCTTTTTTTTTAACAAGTCGGCCGTCTCCCACCGAGGCAGGGTGACCCAAAAAGAAAGAAAATCCCCAAAAAGAAAATACTTTCATCATCATTTTTACTTACCTTTATTAAAGATTGGTGATGGCATCTGGAAGATAGGGAGGAGGAGAGAGGGAGTTGGGGTTAGTGTTTGGAAGGAGAATCCCCCTCCATGAGGACTTCAGGTAAAGCCCTCTCTAGGGTTACTTCCCTTCTCTGTCTTTTAATGCCAGTAGGACCAGCTTGAGAGTCACTGGACCCCTGTCTCGCAAAATAACTGTCCACAGTCCTCTGTTTCTGGCGCATCTTTAACATTTCCTTAAAATGGGACATGGTTCTGTCACTGAACTTGTTGCAAAGATGGCTTGTTTCAGCTTGCTCAGGGTGGTACTTCTGCACAAACATTTGGGCATCATTCCACTTGGCACAAATCTCCTTAATCTTTGAAGAAGGCACCTCATTCACTCCCTATATTAACACCTTTTGGAACATCAGCTTCCTTGATTTGTTCCTTCTTTGACAGGATAGAACCGATGGTCAACTTGTTTTTCTCAAACATCCTGGCAAGCTCAACAAGTCTCACACCACTCTCATACTTCTGTATTATTTCCTTTTTCACATATATGGTGTTTCTCACTTTCTTTACCACAGGGGTACCACTAGCAAGTTTCTTTGGGCCCATGGCAGCTTATTTCACAGTCCCACAAGCACTAAACATAATGAAATAATCATAAAATGCATGAATGAGAGCGCAGGTTAGTGTTCACTCGAGCATAAACAAAGCTAGACTGCTCACGGCGCCTGCGCAGGGACGCAGACAGAGTGGGCAGCAGACAGGTCCCATACCCGGCGGTCCGAAAATAGGGGCACGTTCGATAATAGGGACACAGTTTGTCCGAAAAAATGGTCCTATTTTCGAAAAGTTCGATATGTGATACGTTCGATTTTTGAGGTTCCACTGTATAAAGATACACAACATATCCCTCCAAACTGCTTATATCCTAAACTCCTCCTTTAGAGTGCAGGCATTGTACTTCTCATTTCCAGGACTCAAGTCCGGCTATATAAAAATAACCAGTTTCCCTGAATCCCTTCACTAAGTATTACTCTGCTCACACTCCAACAGTGTGTCAGGTCCCAAATACCATTCGTCTCCATTCACTCCTATCGAACACGCTCATGCACGCCTGCTGGAAGTCCAAGCCCCTCGCCCACAAAACCTCCCTTACCCTTTCCTTCCAACCTTTTCGAGGACGACCCCTACCCCACCTTCCTTCCCCTACAGATTTATACGCTCTCCATGTCATTCTACTTTGCTCCATTCTCTCTAAATGACCAAACCACCTCAACAACCCCTCTTCAGCCCTCTGACTAATACTTTTATTAACTCCACACCTTCTCCTAATTTCCACACTCCAAATTTTCTGCATAATATTTACACCACACATTGCTCTTAGACAGGACATCTCCACTGCCTCCAACCGCCTCCTCGCTGCTGCATTCACAACCCAAGCTTCACACCCATATAAGAGTGTTGGTACTACTATACTTTCATACATTCCCTTCTTTGGCTCCATAGATAAAGTTTTTTGTCTCCACATTTACCTCAACGCACCACTCACCTTTTTTCCCCTCATCAGTTCTATGATTAACCTCATCCTTCATAAATCCATCCGCTGACACGTCAACTCCCAAGTATCTGAAAACATTCACTTCTTCCATACTCCTCCTCATGTCTTATAGTAATGTAAACATTGTGATTACTCTGGTCATTAATATCTTTTTTTACTTTGCAAAAAAAATTTTTTGCATTTCTTTTTAACTTCATCATAAGTGTTATCTATATGCAGTTGTTTTTTGTAATTTATCCTGCCTTGCACATACAGTATGACCCTGTATCCACATGGGATACATTCCAAGACCTGTTGTAGATACCTGAAACCGAGGATAGTGGTGAACCCTATAAAGTGGACCCTCGACTAACGCTATTAATCCGTTCCTGAGAGCTCATCATTAGTCAAAATTATCGTTAGTCAAGCTAATTTTCCCCATAAGAAATAATGGAAATCAAATTAATCCGTGCAGGACACCCCAAAGTATGAAAAAAAAATTGTTTTTACCACATGAAATATTAATTTTAATACACACAAACTGAAGAAGACATGCACAGTTACATGACACTTACCTTTATTGAAGATCTGGTGA